GGGGTACGTTTTGAACTTGAGAAATGAAGGCAGAATATACATATAGTGCCCCGTCATTTGATCGAGAGAGAGAGAGAGAGAGATGCGTTTTGAACTTGCGAAACGAAGGCATATCCATATATTGCCTCATCAAATCAGAGAGAGAGAGAGAGAGATACGTTTTCGAAGGCAGAATATACATATGTTGCCTCGGTCATATACTCCATTGCTACTAATGCAATAAACAAAATCCCACCTTTTAAGACATTTACAGGTCCAAAATGGTACCCTACAAAACAATTAAAATAAATAAACCCGAAAGATCAAGATCAATCAAATTTCAAATACCAATGCACAAGTATCAACAATGGAGTTTGACAAGTTGGGGGCTTTTTCAAGAAGTTGAGAAATATCCCATCGAGAATGTGCATTTTGCCCCACAAAAATAACCAAAGCATACAAAACATCGAGACCAAAACACAATGCGATACATCATTAATTTGCCATATTACCTACACGAAAAGCTCACGAAAAACTTAAAGGATCGGTTTTTTAAGCACGTTTGCCACTGCAAGGATTTGACTTTGTGCAGAGAGCCTTTCTTCCCTTGGCCCGCCTACGACTAAGCACGGCCCGGCCTCTTGTGGTGCTCATACGCTTTCTAAATCCGTGTGTTCTGGCCAGTGACTTCCTCGAACGGTTCCTTTTCGTCTGGCAAAGACGATATTTACTTGCCCTCACCACAAAGCTACGCCTTTTTCCAGAAGAAGGCTGGATGCCGGAAAACGAGTCCAAACCCAATGATAACCCTGGAATTCATAAGAAAATCACCAAATTTCTCCACAGAAAATGCTGAGTCTAGTTTATTATAATGTCAATTAATTTCTAAAGTTTCCACATTTTACTAAACATCATAGAAAACTGAATACACCGTGAAATTATACTCAAGAACGCGAACAATACAGAGAAAAAAAAATAAAAAAAAAAATAAAAAATCACCTTTATCTAAACTAAACACTCACACAGTAATCTTTTTCACTCACCCAAATTCACAAGCCCCAACAAACTAAAGCAGTTTTACGCGCCCAAGAACAAATCGAAGAACAAATTTACCTGAAAAAGCTGAGGCAGAGGTGAAAGACAGCGAGGAATTTGTGAACGCACTGCAAAGAAGGGCCCCGGAAGAAATTGGGCTGTTGGGCTTCATATTGAGCGACACAGAGCTCCTCGCTCTCGATCCAGCCAGAGGGGAAAGTGATGCTGATGGGCTGTTGAAACTAGCGTTTCCTCTGTAAGACGCCATTGTTACCATTGACAAGCAGCACGCCATTTTGCTTCACTCACTGCTAATCGACTCTCTTTCTCTGTGATTAAGGGTATCTGAAATTTTTGCCTTATCTTGTTCTCTGGCCTTACTGTGCGCGACAAATATTACCCTCAAGAATTTGGGCTTTGTTGATGATAATTGGGCTGATTGTAAAATGTATTAAAAGTAATAAGTTGGGCCTACTAAGCTAAGTCAGTAGATGGGCTGAGAAATTGGCCCGGTAGCGTTGTAGGAGACTATACAGCGATTGTGGGATTTTCTTGTAAAATGTTCATTAAATTAAATTCACCAAAACAAACTGAAGAGTTAGTAGTTAGTACACATTTAAAAATAAAAATAGAAAACCTCCAAAGGACATCTCCAATCACAAACACTTCATTGTCAAACCCATTTAGGTTGGTTACCATGAGCTAGCTTATGGATGTGTAGGTTAAAGCTAAGGGTGAAAGACAACTCGATTACATACGAGATGATAACCTCGAAGACCCAGAGAGCCTAAGCAAGACCTATGTGAGATGACCTAACGAAGGAAGAAGAAACTTGTGTGAAGACAATAGTTTGAATTGTGTGAACGGAAGTAGATATGGATAGTATGAACACGATAACAAATATTTTGGCAATAAGATCGGATCGAGCTTGAGCAACAATGATAATTTAAAAGCATCAACGAGGTAGTAATTATATATAAGGGAGTGAGGTATGAATATTATTTTTCTATTCTCTATAAACATTCTAGGCTGTTATTTACTATACACCATCACTTCCAATAAAATTCACTTGAGCATCGAAGGCTTTACGCACGGACAATCCCAACGCTGTCTTGCAGGTAATTAAGGCGGTTTGAGGATGGTTCAGACAACGTTGGACTGGATCAAAGTAGTACAAACCAATATCTTAACTGCGCAAAACATGAAACAAAAAATTAAAAAAAAAAAAATATTTTCACCATTAGTTTTTCCATAAAAACATGGAGTTAATTCAATCTTATGTTGCCCCTTAAAGTCGTTGATGATTGCGCGCTTGACATCACATAGAGAAATAAGTTACTGGTGATCTTGACTCGATCCAACACAAGTCAATTCATTGAGATTCAAGGTCTCCCCGTCTCATTTATTAAAAGCTCATTGAATTAACGAGCAGAGCTAGGCTAACTCGTTAATGGTTAAATATATGATTCTTTATGTTTTTTGTCTAAAACTCAGTTCTTTAAAACTCAAATTTATCTAGTTAATGTTGATAATATCTCTTATATAGTTGCACATGATTGAGAGTCACGAGTTCGCTTACATTCAACTTGCTTGTATACATTCTAAAATTCTAATAAGGACGTGCATGTATACATTCTAAAATTCTAATAAGGACAACGTGACTATTACAATTCCACATGATTGTGAATCACGAGTTCACTTACAACTTGTATCCGAAGTGGGCCCTCAACACTCAAAAGCCCACTTACGACTTAAGCATATCCACAAACTAAGTCCATTATGAATATGCGAATGGCTTAATTAAATGGAGTAAAATGTAAGGAATTAAGAGTATATGTGTTATATATAATTATTGTTATGGGTGATGCTACGGTCCCGTTACGTAACCATTCCGTCGGGGTTTGTAACTGTTAGATCATATCATGTAACCATCAGAGATAGTTGATCTAACAGTTACAAACCTCGACGAAATGTTCTGTAACGAGACCGTAGCATCTTCTGTTTTTTATTAGTAGTTTTGCATTCAACAAAGCAACATGGAAACACATTACATATCGAACTTAACATGCGAGAAAATACTTAATAATTTCAACCAATATATCTACTGCAGAGCCCGTGACATGTGCTTTCAATCAAATACAAAAGAAAAATATCAAACATATCTCACAATTTAATTTTAAGATAATATAATTTTCTTTGTCTTCACTCTTCCATGACCATGAACCAACTCTGAGACAAAGGCAGACCCAAATGGGCCACAAACCTCACATGCACACACACTTTTGCTCGAATACTTCCAACATTTCCAGCCCACCTCACACCATAAACACCCTTAATTTCAAATGTATCAAAAATTAAAACATTTTATAATTTTAATGGGCACCTAATTAATAATTCTCCTTTTCAATTCCCAAAAAATAAAATAAAATAACATATCAAAACTAAAATTTCCCCTGTATAAATTTCCACCAGGGCTGAGGAAAAGCAATAAGAACCAAAGAAAAAAAAAAATGTTATTCATTCAAACAAGAAAAATGTTGAGTTTTAACAAGCAACAAGACTGGATTTTTCCGGTAGCTCTGCTTCTAGCGACGGTCGTAATTCCCACACGGGCTGCCGGTAATCTCGCCGGCAAGCTTGCCGGAGCTTGCAATCTTTACCAGGGCCAATGGGTACTCGACCCATCAAACACTCTCTATACCGGCTGCCCGTTTATCGACCCGGAATTCGATTGCATCAAATTCGGGCGACCTGATAAAACCTTTCTTAACTATGCCTGGAGACCAGATTCTTGCAACTTGCCCAGGTACCATAAACTATCCCAGAAAAAAAGTTAACCAAAAAAACAAAAAAATAAAAAGGAAAATTACTTGTTTTTCTTTTCGGTTGGCTGAAAAACGAACAGTAAGACTATTGTTAGGCAGACTTAACGATGCAAACATATATTTTTAACTGATATGCATATACTCAATATTGAAAGAAATTATAATGGGCCGACTCGTCTAATGCTCACACAACAGGTTTGATGGGCTGGATTTTCTGAGGAGATGGATGGGGAAGAAAATAATGTTTGTGGGTGACTCACTGAGTCTGAATCAGTGGGAGAGTCTAGTCTGTATGATTCATGCTGCTGTCCCTGATTCTAAATACAATTATGTCAGGCATGATTCAATTCCTCAAGTCACATTCCAGGTCAGCCAAGTCTTTTCATTTTAATAAATATACTTTTTTTTTAAATGTATAATCCGAAAAAATTTGACATCAGAACAAGATCACACATTCTCATACGAACCCACACGGGTGTGTAAATTTTTCACAATTATCGAATGTTTTTAATGTTAGAAACAATGAATTCACCAAAATTCAACAATCAATTTCTGCCATTTCAACTAAGAAACTTTTGCAAACACCACTTGTTGGGGCAAAAGAAAGTTTCATAAGCCAATTTATTCAAATGAGATGAGAATAAAAGGGTTATTTTTTGTCATCAATCATTGAAATAAATGAGATTTGGGAAAAGAAAAAAGGTCCAAGCTTTGGTTCCCTGCCCTTTTGTTTTCTTTTCATTTGGCATTTTCTGACAACAGAATTTACATTTTTAACTTTAAGGAAATGTTACGGTCCCGTTACGGAACCATTCCGTCGGAGTTTGTAACCGTTAGATTAACTATCCCCGACGGTTATATGATGATCTCTGACGGAATGGTTCGGTAACGAGACTGTAGCATCTCCTTTTAACTTTAACGCAACTCAACGGAAAACCTGAAAAGAGTACAACTAAATAGACCATTTTTGCCCAAGAAATTAAATATGGAATATCCGGGTACTGGCAAATGGGCCAGACCTCACCTAACCCTCCATTGGACAGTAATAGATGGCTTTTCGCTAGAGTGGGTCAGCCCAAATAAAACAATAATCTAATAGGAAACCAATCCATTAAGTCGAATGCTACCCGAACTTGTTTTTATAAGTTTTTAACATAACTATCCATAATTAAGAATATTAACATTATTAGTATTTTACTACTGTATTTTCGTATTATCAATTTAATTTATCATAAATATGAGAATAACTCAAAATCGTACTTTTTTTTTTTAATTTTCTTCAGGGTCGTTCTAAGCATTGTCACCCCATTCATACACATCTCACTCGTTCTAAGCATTGTCACCCCATTCATACTCATCTCTCTTTTAATGAACTTCGTTTGTGTACTTACATCTATTTAGAATACACATCTAGTACTTGCATGCTACCCAAACTCACCTAAAACACGCTTCATTTATGTACAACTAACATATTTAAACAGTTTTAATACATATTAAGGGAAGATGCTACGGTCCCGTTACGGAACCACTCCGTCAAGATATCAACTATCTCTGACGGTTACATGATGATCTAACGGTTACAAACATCGACGGAATGGTTCTGTAACAGGACCATAGCATTTCCCCATATTAAAACAAGTGAATCACTACCCAAAAAAGAAAAAAAAAAAAAAAATGTTTATTTCGTCAAATTTCTAATGAGAATATCGCATAAAGTAAACTAAGCCACAATGTATACATCTAACATTTCCCAAGGTTTACCTTTACCACAGGACTATGGGGTTACCATATATTATTACCGCTCACCATACTTGGTAGACATAACGAGCGAGGACATTGGGCCGGTGTTGAATTTGGGCTCGATCATACAAGGCCGTAACTGGATAGGAATGGACATGCTCGTGTTCAACACGTGGCATTGGTGGACTCACAAGGGAAAAGCCCAATCGTACAACTTTATATTCTTTCTCAATCCCTATTCAGTTCGCGTTCAACACTCGTTTATATAATCTCACAAAACATCTGATCTGATATTTCATCCGCATAATATTTGCAGATGGCAATATATAAGGGACGGGACAACCTTGTCCATAGACATGGACCGCCACGTGGCATTCTACAAAGGCTTGACCACATGGGCTAGATGGGTTGACTCTAATGTTGACCCAACCAAAACCAAAGTCTTCTTTCAAGGGATTTCTCCTACTCACTACCAGTAAGCAAACCCTCTATCTTCATTAAATTTTCAAGATCAAACGAATAAGATTAATATCTATTGTGATTTGATGACAGGGCTAGAGACTGGAAATCAGTATCGAGGGACTGCTCGGGTGAACAAACCCCATTGTCTGGATCGACATATCCAGCAGGGACACCGGAAGAAGTTCAGATCGTTAACAAAGTACTAAGCACGGTGAAAACACCCGTGACTTTGCTCGATATTACGACTTTATCCCAGCTGAGAAAAGATGCTCACCCGTCAGTTTATGGCGGGAACCCCACAGGAGTCGACTGTAGCCATTGGTGCCTCCCTGGGCTGCCCGATACATGGAACCAGCTCATGTATGCATCTCTCTTATAGTCCGACTGCAAAGAATTGAAAGTTTGTTTTACACACTTGTTGTCTATAAATTCCTTTGTTGAATTTCTTCTCCTCTATAGAGTGATTTTAGATGATTGTTTTCAAGTGTAAGATGGTATTTGATCAATGTAAAAGCGTGAAAGGGGTTTAGGGCCTGATTGGATGTAGTTTATTTTGGACTTCATAAGATTTATTGGATAAAGTAAAACATAAAGTTGACTGAGTTTGGTTTGAGTGGAATTTTCAGTTTTAATTTATATAATATTTAAACTAAATTGGTTAAAGTTGATGTAATGTAAAAAGAGATAGGTGATTGGAAGTAATGGGTGGTTAAAATTATGTGAGTGGATAAATAGTGATTTAAAGTTGATGTTATGTGTGAAAAAGATTGATCGGTATTATTATCTAATTATATTGATAAGTTGTGTTGAGTTAAGTTTGTGTTGAATTTTGAGTTAAAAAAATTATGGTCAGGATAATTTATATCCACCTTAAGAATCTGTTTTCTTTTTATAAGGGCCAAAATCACTTATTTTTGGCTTTTTACCCCATATTGTAGGGTGGATCTCGAAAGAAATGAAAGATCTTCCTCCAAAGCACACAGACGACTTTCATCGAATACGGCTTTCCGCAGAATTCTATATGTGTCTATGAGCATTGTAATTTCCTGGCTCCGAAATTGAATATTTTTGTGCCTATTTCCTATAAGATATTTGATGGCCTTGATGTGTCACATAACCAGCATGATCGCATTCAAAGAGCGCTCAAAAGCAGAAATACTTTGTTTGAATACAAGGGAAACAGAGTTAAAAATCATAAGTCACAACATATCCAAAGGGAAGACCAATTAGTATCGATCAAACAGCAAACATAGACAAATTACCTGAAACCGACCAGTTAACCGGCGTACAAGATAGAGAACATCAAGTTCCTAGCAATGCTGTAAACACTTTACTGTGCTTTATGCTTGGAACCACTTCTCGGTGCAGTCCTGTAGTGAGTATGTGATGAACTTGTTAAGGCCACTAAAAAATAAATCTCTCAATAATAATAAGCACATAATGAAGCATGAGATCTCTCGGGCATAGGCTTATTGGATGACCACCACATTAGCCAAAAAAAAACAAAAAGAAACTTCATTTGAACTTTTCAATAGGAATTGGGAAAACTTCCAAAAAGGCTCTCAAAATTTTTTCTTTTTAGTATTCATAAAAATGCAGCCCGTATTAGTAAAATACTATTGTTTTATGAAATAACGTCCTAGGGATGTGATATAAAATAAATATTAATCTTGTTGAAAGAATCAATCGCTTTATCAGTTCTAAACGGATAGGAAATAACCTTGCAAAAATGAAATCAGTAGCCAACATAGACTGCTGCATTTACAATGTAGCAATCATCGTTTTTATCTCCCATTTCCTCAACATGCACACCACTCGAGCATATCAGCCCGCCATCCACAACCTCAACGTTGGATATAGCTCCACTATATACAATCCACAAAAAGAAAAGGATAAAATGAAAATCCGATAAAATTTATTCAGTAATGCACAAAAAACATAATGCTTACTGAAAAAAGAAAAAGAAAAAAGTTGCATGTCAGGTAATGAAGTAGGATTACTTACTAAGGGAAAACTGACTTGACCTTCTCAACGTCCAACAAATGCTGGAGAGGGCGAGGAACCCCTAGTTTAATCTGCAGTTTCATCTCACCAAATGAAACACCGGGTATAGAACCTGAATTCATACTAAACGAAAATCAGTTAGACTACGTTTCGTAAACCTAGCTAATAAGCTAGCTTATACTCCCTCCGTTCTGAAATACAAGGTGTGTAAGGAATTCGCACAAATATTAAGGAGACATTAATTAATGAGTAAATTGGCTAAACTGACATTAATTTCAACACAATGAGGGTATATTTGGAAAAAAAAAGGGGAAGAATTTGCCTTGGTTTTTTAGTGCGCCTTATATTTCAAAAAAAAAAATGAGAAATCCTTATACGCCTTTTGTTTCAGAATGGAGGGAGTAGCTTTCAAGTGAATTTTCAGCTTATAGATGATAGCTTATGACTTATGGCCGAAAAACTAGCTTATATGATATAAGTGTTTGATAAACTCAGTTAATAAGCTAGCTGAAAAATTTCAATGGGCTTATTTGATAAAAATACCCAAGGAATCTTATGAGATTTGTTCGAGCATTTAAGAAGCTCGTCCTACCAAACGGAACTTATTTGAATACAGGAAGCTTATAAGCTATAAGGTACATCAAAGTAAACCAAGTTCAGTATTTTTTGAGTAAATTGGTGAAACTAAATATACATTATATATTACTTAACATACTCTTGGCCCAATTAAGGATTCAGATAAAACCAGAACATTGAAACCAACCCAAGCAATTGCAAGCATATGATACTCACTGGATGACAGACCAGCTCCCAATAAGTAAACAAAACTAAATCTAACCTCTCCGAAAAGCTGGAATTGAGTTGGAGGAAATTGCATCCCTGCAAGCCCGCATGGCTGCTGAAGTAATATCCTGCCTGTTTATCAATTCCAAATCAACCAAAAGGAACAAAAATCACACAAACACACACACACACACACACAAACACACACACACACACACACACAAACA